GTGAAATAGCAACAACAGTCAAACCTGTATCGAAGCCTCCGTTGACGAGAAATCACATTCAGAATCGACTGAAATGGGCCGTGGACAATATGAAGATTGACTTCTCTAAAGTTTTGCTCACAGACGAAACTCGAGCAACACTTGATGGGCCAGATAAATGGTGCAAAGGCTGAGTAATGAACGGACAGAATCGCCATCAGCGTTTGAGACGCTAACAAGGCGGTGGAGGCATAATGATCTGGGGTGGTATTATTGCAAAAACATTAGTGGGCCCATGGAGACTACCAGATGGCGTCAAAATGACTGCTGATGCATACATAGCGTTTAGGAAGGAGCATCTTGAGCCGTGGATGAAAAGGCAAAGAGTTGCCTTCAGAAGGGCCATTGTTTTTATGCAAGATAATGCTCCCTCACATGCTGCTCACAAGACTACTGAATATTTGAAACAGTTAGGCTTCGATGGATCTCAAAAAATAAAGTGGCCAGCAAATAGTCCGGATTTGAACCCAATCGAAAACCTTTGGAGCATCATGAAGCGAAGACTGTACGCCAACGGACGACAATTCAGGAGCAACGCTGAGTTGTGGGAAGCAATTCTTGGCATATCTCGCGGCATTACAGCAGATGACATCCTACAATTAACAAATTCTATGGATCGTCGACTTCTTCAAGTAATTTCAAAACAAGGAAAGCATATTCCATATTAATATGTTTAAAACTGTGCCTTTGTATCTGTTATTATTTGTTTGATTATCTTATTTATTAGCTTCTTTTGATCATAAACATTCACGTGCAACATTAATGAACGTTTTGTTTGCTCAATTCTGGGAATTTTACTAAACCTTCCTAATAATTTGGCACGCTCAAATCACTGTGGTGATAACAAATATGGCGCCAGTTTATTTACATTGCGCAGATCAGTACGAAAATTTTAGTGATTGCGCAGGTCAGTGTTGCCAATTTTGTGTGAATTGATTGGACGGTTTTTGAAATATTAGAAAAACATTTATCTCGATAATAATTTTGCACGCAGTGTACAACAGTCCCTGTTGTGCTTCCATAGATAAGTATGTGTTTAAACACTGCTTTTCAAGACAGGACATACCTCTCTGACTGGTGCAACAAAATGTCTGGCTTGGTCTTTATCCAGGTTAATTCAAAGTTTAGTAAAGATCTATAGTCACAACACATGAAGTCAATATTACCCCAAGTTATGGGTAAAATAAACGGACAGATTGGGCTCTAAAGCCTTGGTAGGGCAACCAGTCAAGGAGAAGGAAAACCATGAATTTCAAACCGTAAATAATACAAAGGGAGACTACTCCAGTAACTTTCCTGAAGAAGATGCTTGTCAATCTGGACTTCGGTTAATTTTGATTAAAATACTTACTTCTTGCGTCGGCGCATGTATTAACTTTTAGCATAGCAAATTTTAGCCTCATTTTGCGGTGACAGATACATTAATTTAGAAATTCTTGCCAAAATCAAATAATTGTTGGGTTTTAATTAAATGTTTAGAACTTATTCACAAGTGAATGACATGAAATATTTCTTAGAAAATATTAGTAAAAAATATTTTTGTGTTTTACCCCCTTACTTAATTTTATGAAAACATAAGAAATTCAACGTGATAATTTTTTATTGAATATATTAGTTAAAAAAAAATTCTAAATCAACGATTTTTTTTTGCAAATTCAGACCTCGTTTTACTGAAAATCTGCCATCATATTAATTATTAATAGTTATCGTCTGCTAACAATTATACATCACCATACCTAACTACGTTATGCTGTCGATAAATCGATCAATATGTCAGAAAAACAAAACCCTGTGGTTTAGAAATGCATGTATGCAACATTTTATGATATAAGTAAGTAATATTTGCTTAAAATAAAATTTAACTTTAAATTTGCTAATTTTCCTCAAATAGCCTTTCAGAATATATATTTTATTTTTGACAAATTTTTTTAAACAGTGAATTAACTTTTGTTTACAAATGTGTCAAAATGGCTGATGTCATCGATTTTATTGAAAAAAAATGATTCCGATCAATATAATTTGTGTAGAAATACACCACAGAGTATTTTGCTTACTGGAAATAGGAAATTTTAAATCCCTTAACTTTCAATTAAATTTAAAATGAAAGCTTCAAGAAAGGTTTTTCATTTTTAAAAATTCATTTTAAATCTGACGTATTAGTGGAGGTATTTACGGTAGAGAGCTAGAATTCGAAGGCGCATTGTGATAGTGAAAATTGCCTTCCAAAAGCTAAACAGAGTATTAAGAATGAGGTAAATTTCGTTAGTGTTAAATGAGTACGTAGATGTTAGATAATATCTACCCTCCAATATGGAAATGAATTCTGGAAAATCTCCATGCTGACGAAAAAAAGTTTTGAAGTAACAGAAATTTAGTTCAAGAGAAAGATGCTAAAAATACCATGGATCAAACTTTAAAGCAACTTGCTTTCAATAGGTCAGGCGAATGTCAGATTGTCCAAGTCCTCTTTCTTCATTATGCACCCTAGAGATTTCAACTGTCTCTCTGCTAAGTAAAAGTGTCTTTTTGTTTCCATTTTCTCGAAAACTTTGTCGTTGATCACATGTTTCTTAATACTCTGCTTTGTTTAAATATCCGTTTCTTAATAGTCAGCTTAGCTTTGGGAAGTCTTCTTTCGCTATCCCAAATCGCCTTCGGGTTCCAGTGTTGCTCTTACCGTTTTTTGCATAATAATAAAAAGTCCATTGTTATATTTAATTCTATTTATTCAGTTTGATTCTCAGCATTCTATTTGATGCTATTTATTTTGTTTTATATATATATATATATATATATATATATATATATATATATATATATATATATATATAGTTTATGCAAATTTAGGTAATCCGTATGGGTAGACCTGAGGAGAATGATATCCAGAGAGCTCAATGTAAAATTCAGAGCAGATATGTTTGAATAAAAGACAGACCACGTTAAGATTCCATGTAATAAGCTATTTCACCATAACCCCTTTAACAGGGTTATGGATCATCAGACTTTACTTCCAAAAGCTGAAATGAAAACTAAAAAGAAATTCACACGTTTTTTACGGACCTCATTAAGTATACGCAAAATTAACGAAGTGAGGAAGTGAGGTGGGAGAGAGGATATGAGTGTGTCATATGTATCATTTTAGTTTCCTATTTTAACCCCAGTGGATGTTGCTCAAATCTAACGCGTCTCGTCTCTAGATAAAGGTGGTTAAGGGGTGAGCGATAAGGACTACATTAAGGAAGACGGTACAATAACCCCAATAAATTACACGACAGGTTTCATTCAAATTCTTAGACGCTGTCAGTTCGCGTTACTTTAACGTACATATTTGGGAGGTTAAGGTTTGATAAATATCTAAATTTTAAAACAAGGTTTGGGTCAACCAATGTTTTTTTTTCAGGCATTTTCCAAATGTGTCACAAGTTTATACACACACACAAATACACACACACACACACACACACACACACACATATATATATATATATATATATATATATATATATATATATATATATATATATATATATGTATATGAAAATTATTTTCATTCTTTATTTCAGCTTTTGGAAGTAAAGTCTGATGATCCAGAACCCTGTAAAGGGGTTATGGTGAAATAGCTTATTACATGGAATCTTAACGTGGTCTGTCTTTTTATTCAAACATACATATATATATATATATATATATATATATATATATATATATATATATATATGTGTGTGTGTGTGTGTGTGTGTAAACTTGTGACACATTTGGAAAATGCCCGAAAAAAAACATTGGTTGACCCAAACCTTGTGAGTGAAATTGGTCAGATGGAACTCTTTGGGAGCCGTCAATGGTTATTTCTACCACGATTTCAAAAGTCATAGTGACCGAGTGTTTGATCGTACAAGCCTCGTTCAGACTGTTGATCACGACACATGGTGCATTCTCTCCCCGAAGCTGCAGCTAAGGTCCGCTCAGCAAAGATGAAGTATAAACAACAGGCGGGCTCTATGGTTATTGAAAGACAAAAATATTCCCAAGCAGGTGTCTGCAACAGTGATGGCTAACTGTCTTACTATACCCAGAAAGGAACGACCAGCCACTAATATATATATATATATATATATATATATATATATATATATATATATATATATATATATATATATATATATATATATATATATATATATATATATATATAAAATGAAAATGAGAACACATGGAGTATAATTCTACTTTCTGTAGCATTTAATTTAAAAGAGGACTCAATACAATGTAGAGCTAAATATTATTTATGGCAATTATGTTTCAACTCACCAAATGTGAATCCTCGGGCGGTGGTAAACTACTGGCATATATATATATATATATATATATATATATATATATATATATATATATATATATATATTTATTTTGTGTATTGAGGCAGCAGATCATTATTTAAACATATATTGTTAAATATAAGAGACAATGAATGTCTATTATGTTGGATCATGAACCGTTCGAATTTCCGTATGTTTGCGTTAATTTCGGGTGAAAATAAAGACAAAAATTGTTCAACATTTGGATATTTTTTTTATTATGTTGGTCCTTCATCTAAACTTGCGGCTCACATGAGCCATCTTCAGAGTGGTTAACCACGGCTCATGATCAAACATAATACATATTCAGTATATTATATTTAAAAATATATGTTATATATATATATATATATATATATATATATATATATATATATATATGTCTGCGTGGGTGTGCATGTGTGTGCGTTCGTCTATGATTGGACATTTCCAAATTCAGACTCCGTACGGAGGAGTGTAAAATGTAAGTGCTTTTGTTTTTTTCCCAATATTCCCAAGTTGAACGGAAGAGACCCTACCTAGAAACTCGACATTCAATTCCTTATCAGTTATTTTCGAACACGTACCCCAAGCACCGGTGAAAAATAATTTACTAGTTTAATCACGATGATAAAAGATACTAATCTCTCTTCTTCTTCTTCTTCTTCTTCTTCTTCTTCTTCTTCTTCTTTGTCACTCCATTTCTCTTTTTCTTTCTCACTCTCACTCTCTTTCTCTCTTATTCTGTCTCTTCTCGCAACCATGCACCTTCTTTGTCATTTTATCCATCTGCATTTCTCTTTCTTTCTCTCTCACTCTAACTCTCTTTCTCACATTCCTCGCAACCCCGAATCTTTTCCTTTGTCACTTTATCCATCTGCATTTCTCTCTCTTTCTCTTTCTTTCTCTCTCTCTCTTTCTTTCTCACATTTCTTGGAACCACGCATCTTCTCTTTTGTCACTTTATCCATCTTCATTTCTCTTTCTTTCTTTCATTCTTTCTTTCTTTCTTTAACTGTCTCTCTCTCTCTCTCTCTCTCTCTCTCTCTCTCTCTCTCTCTTTCTCTCATTTCTGGCAACCCCGAATCTTTTCCTTTGTCACTTTATCCATCTTTCTTTCTTTCTTTCTTTCTTTCTTTCTTTCTTTCTTTCTTTCATTTCTCGCAACCACGCATCTTCTCCTTTGTCACTTTATCCATCTTCATTTCTTTCTTTCTTTCTTTCTTTCTTTCTTTCTTTCTTTCTTTCTTTCTTTCTTTCTCTCTCTCTCTTTGTCTCATTTCTCGCAACCCCGAATCTTTTCCTTTGTCACTTTATCCATCTTTCTTTCTTTCTTTCTTTCTTTCTTTCTTTCTTTCATTTCTCGCAACCACGCATCTTCTCCTTTGTCACTTTATCCATCTTCATTTCTTTCTTTCTTTCTTTCTTTCTTTCTTTCTTTCTTTCTTTCTCTTTGTCTCATTTCTCGCAACCCCGAATCTTTTCCTTTGTCACTTTATCCATCTTTCTTTCTTTCTTTCTTTCTTTCTTTCTTTCTTTCTCACTCTAACTCTCTCTCTCTCTCTTTCTCTCATTTCTCGCAACCCCGGATCTTCTCCTTTGTCACTTTATCCATCTGCATTTCTCTCTTTCTTTCTCACTCTCACTTTCTCTCTCTCTTTTCTCGCCACAACGCATAATCGATCGTTCGTTCAGTCATTGAGCAAAAGTGTAAATAAGAATTTTTTTTCTTTCTCATCTTCCTTATTGCGTACACACCGATATCGCAGTGGGATTCCACCTATCGAAAATGAAGATTAGCCACCTGGAGTTCTCGAGGCAAATCAATCATCTCACAAGTAACTGTGCACGACGGGAGGCTGAGAGACCCGATTTAATCCTCCATAAAAAACGCTCTTTGCTTACAAAACGCAGATTCCCCAACACGACGTCTAAAGTCGGCACAAAGAACCAATGATATTAACATCACTGTCAGTTGCAATGGCTTAAACAAACGGTTTAATATATACTAGTAATCTCGAATAGTCCCCAGACAAAAAAAAAGTCATTATAACTAGCAAAACATTAATTTCCATGAGAGACGAATGTAAATCCATCAAAATTTTAAATATATATATATATATATATATATATATTTATATATATATATATATATTTTATATATATATATATATATATATATATATATATATATATATATATATATATATATATAAATAAAAAAAGGGACGTCAGGCAAAATGACGGTTCCGTATAGGATACATGTTCGATTCCTGTCGGAGGACGAATATTTTCTATGAAAATTTCTCGGACATTCATGCCGGTAAATGTTGTTTAATACTGTTTATTATAAACAGAGCATTTACTTAAATATTTGTATCTATAAAAAGAATGTATAAACCTAGAAATGTCTTAAGATATATATATATATAATAATTCATTTTTATTTACATGTTTGAAAAAAAAAGATATTTGGAATTACTAACTGGGAACATTTATTATATTCCTCTCATTGAATTTTGTTTGCTTTCTTTGATGTTTTTTTTTTCAGTTTCATTGGATACTATGTATTTTCTTTGATGCTATTTGTTCTGTAATTCCGTTTATTCTCTTTGATTCCATGCATTCTAACTGATGCTAATTCTTCTCGTTGATTCTCAGCATGTGGTGCTATTTATTTTAATTGATGCTATTTGTTTTATTTGATTCTGTTTATTTGATTTGATTCTTTGTATTCTTTTTGATGCTATGTTTTATTTGATTATATTTATTCTATAGTTCTCTGTGTTCTATTTGATTCTATTTGTTACGTTTGATTGTATTTAGTCTAGTCGATTCTATGCTTTCTATTTGATGTTAATGGATCTATTTGTCTCAATTTATTCCATGTGATTCTATGCATTTTATTTGTTGTTTTTTGTTATATTTAATTTTATTTATACTATTTGATTCTAAGTATTCTATTTGGTCCTATTTGTTTTATTTAATTTTATTTATATTATTTGTCCTCTTTGTATTTAATCTTTTGATTCTATGTATTCTATTTGATTCTATTTATTTCTATGTGATTCTGTGTATTCTATTTTGGTGCTATTATTTTATTTGATGCTAATTGTTTCGTTTTATTCTATTCATTTGATTCTATGTATTCTATTTGGTCTATTTGCTCTATTTTAGTTGCTGCTATTTGTTTTATTTGATTCTATTTATGCTATTTGTCCACTTTGTATTTAGTTCTATTTGATTCTATGTATTCTATTTGATGCTATTTCTTTTATTTGGTGATAATTATTTTTTATTCAATTCATTCTATTTGATTCAATGTATTCTATTTGCTGCTATTTCTACGTGATACTATGTATTCTATTCGGTGGTATTTGTTTTATTTGATGCTAATTCTTTTATTCTATTCATTCTATTTAATTCTATGTATTCTATTTGATCTTATTTGTCTATTTGGCGCTATTTTTTATTTTATTCTGTTTAATTCTCTTTATTGCATTCAGTACGTTTTATTCTATATAATTAGCTGTATTCTATTTCTTGCCATTTATTCTATTTGATTCTATGTGTTCGGTTTTATGCAATATGTTTTTTTTTTTTGTTTCTATTCCTTCTATTTGATTCTCTGTATTCTATCATGGTTCTGTCTGTTTTATTTGATTCTCTTTATTCCATGTCATTCTATTTGTGGCATTTGATTCTGTTTGCTCCCTCCTGTGATCTTTATTCCATTTGATTCGTCTCTGTTCTTCCCCTTTAATTCTTTTCCTTCATTTTGATTTTATTTGATTCTGTTTATTCCTTTTTCTTTCTGTTTGCGCGCTTTGATTTATATTTGTTCCACTTGATTCAGTTGTCTCCCTTTTATTCGATTTGTTTTCCATTTGATTCTTAATTTTCCATTTAATCCTCTTTTTTTAACTGATTTAATTTGTTCCATTTGATACTATTTATTCTTTCTTTATTTGCTGTACCATTTGAATGTTTATTCCCTTCTATGGTTTCTCTTCCATTTGATTGTATTATTTACCTTTCATTCTGTTTGCTTCTTCTAATTCTATTCCTCCTCTTTGACTATTTGTTCCATTCTATCCATTTGTTCAATTTGATGCTGTCTGCTCCATTGCATACGTTTTCCATAGATTGTCTGTATACACTAATATATATTCCGGATGTACTAATATATCTTACCGTATGTAATAATACTTTCTATTGAATGTAATAATATATACGTAGAAATTATTACTGTTTATAATTTTAAGAATCCTAAAGAAACAGTTAAAATGTCTGGGACACATAATGAAGAAGTAATGGAGAATCCCAAACTAACTAGCCATATTGGAAGCATAAGGAACAAATAATAACTGTTAAATCTATAATAGCTGGGAGTCTATATTATTTCTGTTTTTATCTTGCAAGTGAACGTTGCCACAATAAAACTTAATAAAGAACAGACATGTAATGTTTTCAAATTTACTACTATTCATACATTGATTTTGTTATAATATGATAGCCATTCTGGGTATGACGATAAACTACATCCGGCAGCAAGGTCTCTTATCGGGAGGTTTTGAAGAGCGTAGAACCAACTCTTAATTGATTGTATTCTCAGGCCCGCTCTGACCCGGAGTGGTAGCACCAGTTAGGGTCCCAGCTATGTACAAATAATTAATCCTCAAACTGGGGTCAAAACACTATGAAAGTATAAAATAGCCTTTATAGTAAGAATAACAGATATATTTTCATAGTGTTATGGTCTGGTTCCTTGTTTCACGGTGATAGTCCAAGGTAGAACCAATAAAGAAGAACTGGAACACAGGTATGGAATAACACAGATATATTACAAACAGGAATATATACAGAGAAGTAGAAAGTGTTAGTACGAACAATCAGGTTTAGTAGTAATTGTCTGAAGGCGACTCTGTTTCGGACTGCCTCTGACTCGACTGACTGACTCGCTCGCTCTGACTGACAGACTCCTGATGGACTTCACTCCAGACTTCAGACAGAACTCCCTGCTTCCTCTTGAGGCGCAGTATTTATTACGTATGGCATAGTCCATTATGTTATTATGGGTAAGGTCCCATAACACATAGTGAAAAATTACCAGAAATATTTTTAAAAAAAGAAAGACAAAGGAGCAGCTATACATTTTTGCAATAATAATAATAATAATAATAATACGCTCAATACATTATTATAAAAAATAGCAGCCACAATAAATTTTTGTAAAAGAAATTAGTAATACTTCCAAGAAAATTAAATTTCGGCAAATGGCCCATAAGGATCAAGTAGTTCAAGTAGAGTCAGTAGTGCAAGTCGAGTCAGTAGTTCAAGTCGAGTCAAGAGTCGAGTCAGAGGCAGTCCGAAACAGAGTCGCGTTCGGACAATTACTACAAGACATTGGAATAGTGATACTGGTCGAGACTACATTGTTCTCTCTACGAAACCTGATTGTTCATATTAACACTTTCTACTTCTCTGTATATATTCCTGATTGTAATATATCTGTGTTATTCCATACCTGTGTTCGAGTTCTCCTTTATTGGTTCAACCTCGGACTATCACCGACGTACAAGGAAGCGGACCATAAAACTTTTTATCTTGGTTCCTCATTTTTTAAATAAAATGATAGACCTGTATATATTTCTGAGATGAGGAATTATGTGCACTATTTGCATGATCGAATCTATCAGATTTTCTATCAAGTAAATAATTGTCTCAACAGCAAAGATACAGATTTCCTAACAGAGAATGTTCACAGTTATTAATTAATTAATTAATTTATCATTAAAAAAAAATTTAATAATAAAGGAGAAACATATCATTTTTATTTAATAGTTGAATATTCTTGCTTCATAAAACACACTTTTAACACAAGATACAATAAAACATTTAAATTTATGGTAGGATCATTTTTAAGCTATTTAGATTGCGATAACCCAAAGTTGAGGAGAGCAGTCATAAAATGGTCTTGTAATTTGCATTCCAAAACAAATACCAACCTTGATATGCAAATCGGTCTACTGTTTACTCCTGGGTATGGGGTCAAACTATCAGGTCAACCCATAAGTTCTGTCCGAATTCTTAACTTTGTGTTAAAATGAACGAAATTTTAAGAGTATTTTATAATGTCTAATGGAGCTGACCATTATTTTTATGTTTAGATACATTTAAACTGATCCAATTTAATTTCAGAGAACAATAAAATTAATTTTACTTGATTAAAACATGCCAATATGGAAGTACCCAAGAATCATTTGAGGCACATAATGCTTTACGAGTTCAAGAAAGGAAACTCAGCAGCCGAAGCGGCTAGAAACATTCACTCAGTTTATGGAGAGGAATATGTGAATAAAAGAACTTGCAGAAGATGGTTTGCAAAATTCAGAGGTGGAGATTTCACCCTTGTAGATGAAGATCGAACCAGACGTCCAGTTGAGTTTGATGAAAAGCTTCTTGAAGCAGCCCTTGAAGAAAATCCCGCTTTATCAGTTGAGGAATTAGCAGTGGTTCTCAGTTCAAACCATAAAACTGTTCATTGTCATCTTCAACAACTTGGAAAAGTTCCTAAACTTGGAAAATGGGTGCGTCATGAATTGTCAGAAAACAACCTCAAATCCCGAGTTGACATCTGCTCTTCTCTCCATTCTCGCCAACTTGATTCACCTTTCTTGGATAGACTTGTGACTGGTGACGAAAAATGGATCTTTTATGGAAATGTTAAGCGTCGTAGACAGTGGCTTGGTAAAGGGTAAGGACCCCATCCACAGCCGAGAAGGGAACTTCATGGGCAA